ACCCATGGTGGACGATCCAATGCCGTAGGCTTACGTTTACGGTATAGATGAGTAGAAATATACCAATGCTATGTGTGAGGGTGTGGGATAATCGTGATGTGGACGTAGAACGATTTATGCTTTTTTGTTGACTACTGTAGAGCGTTATTTTAGAATTGGACCGTTGACTACAGTAGGGTATATTACAGAGTTTCAATAGACATTGTCCAATTCCACAATCGGCAATCGGTGTTTTTTCCCATGGCATTTGCCTCCACATTCTGTGTTTTTCCAACTGCTATTGTACCTGTTATGCAATATCCGATGCACATCATAAAGCAGCCTTCATACGTCACATACTAGAACGTGGGAGTTGCAGAATTCTATATACAATGGAGGGTATGACACGCACTAGCGAAATCTGTGTCACAGCTACCTATTTAGCCCAACGCATCAACATTTCATAAACAGCCATGACCGTGTACTTGCGGTTCTCCGCTTCTCCCCACACTAGAGATCGTTTCGGATTGTAGAATACCTCATCATCGACCTCCTCACACTTACGAGGTAAGCAATGCATAAATCGCCAACTCTTTTTGGCCCCACCGCGAGCAGCCATTTCTTCCGTGATCTGATAACCGGCAAAGTCCTTCAAGCGCTTTGCCTTTTCTGCCTCCTGGCCCATGGACACCCATGTATCAGTTACAATAACATCTGCATCTCTAACGGCTTCGCGAGGATCATGCGTAAACACGACCGTTCCACGCTCTGATCCTCCTGACGCTTCACCAATGGCATAGTCTACGACATCAGCATCGCAATTGTATCCACGGGGCGTAGCCACAGTGAGCTGAATTGGACCCAGACGCGGTAATGCGACCAAAAGGGAATGGATAATGTTGTTGGCGTCGCCAACCCATGCGATATTTTGCGCGGGGAGGAGTGGTAGCGGCAAGCCCGCTGGTGGAGATAGACTCAAAGCCTCCGGTAGAGATGCCTCATATAGGGTCATGATATCAGCAAGTCCCTGAAGCGGATGGAACTTTGCAGTTAACGCATTTATGACTGGAACGTTAGAGTTCTCGGCAAGTGTCTATTGAAAAGCGAAGCCGGAGCTTAGTGTACGCACCATATCCGCAATAAAAACTACTCGTACCTCAATTTCTTCATGACCGCCAACCCGGGCGAGTAAGCAGTCTATCATGCTGGAAACCACAATAGCAGTGTCCTTCAGTGGCTCGCCGCCTCCTATCTGGATATCTTCTTTGCCAAGAAACATGGGATGCCCTCCGTAATAAGCCCAGCCAGTTTCGGAGGAGACGCGCGTACGAGTGCTTCGCTTGGTAAAAATCATGCCTAGCGTCTTTCCCGTAAGAAACTTTTCGTCGTCGGTTAACCCAGTGCTCAACCCTTGGCGCTCTTTCCTAATCATCTGCTTGATTTCCAAGGATCGTCGTACTAGAGCGAGGATTTGCGGGGCAGTGAGATCACGCAAGGTAATCAAGTGCTTCGTGCCCTTGAAGCTAACTGTGGGCACTGGTAAGTTGGTTGACAACTGTCGAGCTTGAGGACACCATGACGATGATTGCGCTGGTGATGCCCTGAAAACTGTAAAGGGTAGCAGCTTGCTATAGGAGCGTGATAGCACGACCATGATGCCAAAGTAGAATACGTCAACTGCTCGTTAGGGCTAAATCAGAATCTGCCGTCGTCCACAAGTAAGAGCTTCCTTCCTCACAGGAAAACATCATTTAAAAAGTCTCTGACTGGGGAGATGGATGAGATGCGCCCGTCGCGTAACAGCGTGTCAGATTATTACATAATCTCACAGTGGGGTTAGGGTTCGTTCGGACAAGTGAAGCGCGCGACAAAGTAACGCGTCGGTGCCAAAGCTGTTTGTTTGTCCTCAACGGACCGAAGTCAGAAGCACACCAGACGCAGGAACCTTCCCGAGCCATTTGCAGGAATGCCATCCAAAAAGGTTTGCTCATCTTTTTGAGTCTCCAACGGAAGGGCTCAAAAGTTAACGCTTTTGCAAATATCAGAAGCATGCAAAACGGAAGCTGGACAGAAAGGATACCATCGCCGATCACAGCGCGGTGAAAACGCGAGCACCCCTTGAGAGCTTGACGCTGACGAACAAGTTTCTGACGAAGGTACGGAATGAAGATGAGCCACCGGCGGGGGAGTCTGAGGACGATTTAACGGCGCTAGGTAAGAGCCGATCTTTTTTGCTCAACCTTTCAACGTCTCATCATGTCAACACCCACTTGACAGTACCGCCTACGAGAAAACGCAAACATGTTGAAGAGCCATTGACAGTTTCTGATGACGATTTAGAAAATGACGCATCCATGGATGAAACTCCAGGTCTGGCGGAACGCCAGTCATCGAACAACGTTACACTCGGCTCGAGTAACAACAAGGAGCGCATATGTGAAGAGGTTCCTTCAAAAGAGCCGAGAAAGGAAGCAAAAAAGGAAATTACCATTGATATGAGCGGTCTGCGCAAAATCATGGACGAAGCGTTGTACAGGATAGCGGATGAGTTACAGTCTCAAAGACCTAACGCCCAGCGAGTTTATGACTCGGTAAGGAAGCATCTGCAGACTGATGTACGCGAAGCTCCTAAGACTTGTACCGTCAGCTTTCCCTCTGCAAACAGGCAGAGTTGCGCCATGAGCACTTTTTGGAAGTTATCAAGCCACAAAATGAAGCAGTTATGGATGGTTATAGACGTGCTGCTGACCAGCGGGTCAAAGCTGCGGAAGATCTCAACGCGATATTAAGAAAGAATTTGGCTGACACGCGCGAGGTTGTCTCGAAGTGCCACGAAGAACAAGCGCGAATGCGAAAGGAACTTAAAGCAGCAAATGAAAAGGCATTGAAATTAGAGCAGCAATTATTCAAATCGCAACTCCACGAACGGGAAAATGCGGTTGAGGACAAAGAGACAGAAGAAGAGAAAGCCCTTCGAGAAGCGCAGAGAAAGAAGGAGAAAGATACGATTCACCACCTGAAGCAACAACTTGAGGAAGCCAAAGGGCGGGAAGCCGCATTACAGGGCCATGTGGAGCAATTAACCGAAGAAAGTATGTGGTCCTGTTCAAGGAAGCTATTTGAAATCATTGGTTGACAGCTGTTTCGTTAGATCATAAATTGAAGGAGGCGAACAAAACAGCGCCGGAGGCAACGAAGTCAAAAGAAAACGATCGCTATCTGACCATGGTAGAGCGCATGATTCGCATGTTTGAAACCTTGACGGGGGTAACAATCGAAAGCGTTGAGGATGGAAAGAGAACCGTGGAGACTGACGACGGAGGCACGGAGGAGGAAGATGAGATCGTGTATCGGTGTAGGCAGAAGGGCAAGAAAGGAGGTAATATTGTGGGACTGTTTTGCGTTGCCCTCCTCATGCGCTAATTTATCGTTTACCACAAACTTTTTGAAGAAATCTCCTATAAACTGTTGACCCCAGGGGATGCAACACCGGCAGCAGAACAGGAGATAACCTATGAACCGCATAGTGCAACGATTCCTGACTTACCAACATGGATTCGCGGGGCAGCAGGCGAATCAGGCGCAATCACTTTCGAAAGGAACATGGCCCAAATGTTTTTCTGGAGGATTTACGATGTTTTAATGAAATAAATGATTTTGGGCAAATGTATCCATGAACGGAATAGTAAGATGTACAAGGGTATGCAATAGGGCAAGAACTTATGGCACCCAAAAACTGACGACCTAATACAAGAACCACGTCTAGACGGCCTACACTACTTTCTCGATAGCTACAGAGCATCTTCTCCATCACCGCATGTGCTTTGGACTCTCGCTACGGCGTCCTCTTGCAGGGGACGACATGCTGGCTCGTTGCGGACTTTCAGGCCGTCGGTCAGGGACGACGACCACTGGCATGGTCGCGTGAGATGTGCAGTAGGACGATACGGAGCCAATCAACATGCTGGACGGGGAAGTCAACGGTTATGAGACTAGGTAAGCTAGAAGCTCAGATAGAGGTGACACATACCTTTTAACAAGAGACATCCCTCGGCTTCCCAGGACCAATGTGTGCACACCCGTTTCCTGCGCCGTGTCGCAAATGACGGATTTCGCATCCCCAATCTTCACAATGACTTTCAAAGTTACATTCCTCAGTGTTGGGTCCAACGCTAACATTCTCTGGTGGAAGGTATCCCTCAGTTTCTCAGCGACAATGTCCAAATCCACCTGTTCCGACTCCAAATCTGCTTTTTGCATAACGTGAATAAGCAATAGGTCATCACAATCCCGTAGAAGGGAATGTATGCACCAATCGAAGGCCCGCACGGATGAAGAAGAGGTATCTAATGCTACCATATGAATTCCTCGTGGACGACGGATGGACAGACGTGCGTCACCGAGTGAAAGGAAAGGCATAACCCCATGATGAGAACCTGGTAGAATATGATCTGGCATGGGTGGTGTGCCCGGAGGTGGCGGTTCAAAAATGTCAGACGAGGATGGAGAAGTAGTTGGCGTTTGGAAATGTTCCATTGGATGGGGAACGGGCGGAGTGTGCATCTTTGCGATAAATCAGTTGCGGTCGTGAGTAGGTGCTTGCTGATAGTATATATGGATCAGGCAATGGATAGACTTCTCCTGTTCAACCGCCCTTCTTATGGTGTTGCTGGAACGGCGCGTGAATACGGTGAAGAACGCCAAGAATAGAAAGCAAGCTCCGGGACGGATCTTTAAAGCGTCCGCAGCAACTTCACACGAGAAAAACCTGCTAACGATGGCTACGCATAACAAATTGACCCTTCGACGAAACTCTCATGGCGCGGGAGGATCACGGTTATCCGTGTTTTTGACATGGACGCGATAGCAGCGTCTATCACTCAAATGCAGACGTCCCAGAACATCATGGTTGATGGGCACCAAACATCGAATCTTGCGCAGTGTGGTTTCTTACTATAATTAGCCCATGTAAAAAGTCTGCGCAAATGTCTCATCAGGTAGCGGAAAATTCAAAAAGTTAGTTCCTCCGGGCAGATTTGAACCGCCGACCTCCGCATGGCATAGATAGTTCTTATCTATAAGTACGGCGCTCTGACCAGCTAAGCTACGGAGGAGAATTCAGTTACGTAAGCTGCCACTGAAATGTAACATGTGGTCCCTGTTTAAAATTAAGGAGATCACAGACATTCCTTTGGGGAAGGCTGGCTTAATTCAAGGCAAGCTCAATCAGACGCAGACAAGATCTTGCCTGTGGATTGGTGCTTCCTGTGTGGACGTCCACGACGTGCTTATCAGTATGGTTCCGATCGAGAGCAAGACGGATACGGGAGTCAACGTCGCGAAGGATTTTCCCATGGTGAACTACTTATTCTCGAAGTGATGGTGAACAATTTATTCTCGAAGTGACGGCTCTTTGTACTGAACATACGCAACCTGAAACGAAAGTCAAAAGATTTTAAACCCCATCAATGCGAAGCTTAGTGTAGTTCATGCCTTGATCGCATTCTGCTAGGTTTGGAGAACACAGATCCGCTCACACCTCACACGATCGAGAATCCCTGGGATGTAGAACGTCGTCCTGTTGAACGGTTCTTAGTATATAGTGGATTGTTCCACCCGTGTGAATATTGTTACGCACACACCCCAAAACTTCCCGACAGACAGTTATATTTGAGATGTCGCAGTCAAACACATAACAGCTGATAGCGCATGAAACAGAGCAATTCCATCCTGCAGTGCCCGCGACTGCTACCTAATGACAATACTCTCCAAAGCTATCATACAGCACTCCAAACATCACTGACCATCATTCAAAGTAAACAAAGAACTTGCTTCTGTCAGGATCCATGGGTTTTCCAGTAGATCGCTCAACAAGCGCGGGTCGGATAGTGAAATACACGTGCGACTGTTCCGAAGGTTCTCCGCACCGAGGAGGTGCCTCACAGCACGCAGGGTCAAAGCGCGAAAAAGGATACTGCGCAACAACGATATTCTCACGAGTGAAAGCCTTGCATCCAAGTGCTAGCTGAAGCGCTGCCTTTGCAACATTTTCCAGTAAAGGCGGTCCAAAAAGCATGTTGAACTGCCAGGCTTCTACCGCTAACAGTTCCGCAATTGCAGTAATGGCGAATTGTTGCACTTCAGCTGCAGTAAACATGGCAAGCGATCTGCCTGACCCAGGTAGCGGCATGTCAGATCCATTCATTATTGCCACATACATACTAGCCAGGTCGGCTTTCAGCCTCGGCCACGCCTGAGCAATCACCGCAACTCCATCCAACGTTATCGCGCAGTTGTAAGGAAGGCATTCGACGACGTTGTTAAATACAGTCTCTTGCAGACGTTTGTAGATATGGTGTTGAAGAACAGCTTGAGCGCGAAACTTACAGAAGGTAGGGGTCGGTGGCGGTGTGGGAGGCACCAAATGCCAGTAAGCGTGGTGAGCATTGAGCATTCGGATGGGCGTCTCCGTAGCCGAAGCCGCTGTATCCCAGTTGATATTCCTCAGTGCTTGAATCAGAGCATCATACAAGTCCATCAGCTTTTCCCTGGTGACCTGATCATCACGATACATGTTGCCCGCGCCAAGTGCAGCTAGCTGTTCTTCGGCGGTAGATAAGGAAGTCCTCAGGATCTTCATCTCTCGCCGGCAATCCTCCACGTACTGGGTGACTGCCGTCGGAAGGGTACCGGTCTGGTACTCGATCGGTAATTGCTTGCGGATGAGATGCAGCGCATCTTCCTGCTTTTGAGCCACACCATAGAAGGCTTCCTGGTGCTTCTGCAATTCATTCAAGGCATGGTCCAACCCACGCTGTCTGTGGGATACCAGTGCCATAACGGCTTGCACATCCTGCACTCGGGCTTGGCGCTTGGCACGGTGAGACCCTGACCGTTGATCTTCTGTCAACTGCTTCTCATGGTGTCGTGAACCAGGAGCTTGTTGCCCATTGTGAATCTCCGCCCACGCAGTCGTATGTGGTGCACGCTCTTGTCCACTTGCGCGTCCTTGAAATTCTTGCTGGGATGACCCGGCGCTTCCCATACTCCGAGTTGACTTACCACCACCACAGCTGTTTGAACGCTTATGGATATGTAGCTGCTGCTGGTGCTGATTGATATCAGGCTGACTAGGCGCTGGATAGTTTGTTGAAGGCGTTGAGGAAGGCGCTTCAATGATGTTGCCACCCGATGGCTGCTTTGAGGAAAGGCCTTGACTGTTACGGTTGGACGATTCCTTCCTAGCGACCGGCTGGTTTGGGCGGGCGCTGGCAGAATCAGTGGAGTCAACCGACTGTTCGGCAGGTCTTTTACTGCGTTCTGGAGGGGTCATCTTAAGATCAGCAATGTGGACGAACTCGATGGCTCCGAAGGACTGAGAAGGAAGGCTACCGAATACACAGTGGATTCTCCAACGAATTTGTTTTTTTGCACCTCTGTATGGTGTTCTGCGCTCTGAGGAGGTGTCTGTGCAGCAAAGAGGTTCCCAAGCTGTTACGTGGCAAACAAGGGGCCTTGAAAGCGTCAAGCACCTTCGAGTGGGTAGCCTAAAAATTTGAATTCACAGAGCATCACATTTGCATAACGAGGGGAATCACCGAAGCTGTCTGCGACAGCTTATTAACGAAGACCTCCTGGTACCATCGGAGATGGGTGACACCTGTCAGGCCATGAGAATATTCTCATTGGGAAACGACTCGTACTCGAGCTTAGCAAATCCCATGGCAGCTCTCTGCTCACACACAGGATGCGGTGTCCCCCCGTTGTCGACTTTCACAGCTTGGTTTCGCAGGAGACTGCCATGTATGCACACGTGAATTCACATGGCTGAGCCCGCTGAACGCTTCTTGGAGTTTCCAAACGGTACAAAAACAGATTTGAATTGAAGGAGTGCTCTTGGAAGTAGGCAGCTCTTCTTATCTGCAAGTGTACCAGAACCTGCTCTTCCTATCCAATATTTGGGTCATCGACGACAACCAGTTTGGGACGTACCTCGCGTTTGGCACCTTCTGAATTCAATTGTGATTGTTAAGAATCACAGCGACAATGTCAGAATCCGATCGGCGAACAAAGAGAGCCATCATTTCTCTTGACTTTGGGACGGCCTTCAGCGGCTTTGCGATCATGCACAAGGCCCAGGACGGAACATCAAGTGCCATATACAATTACGAAGGCAAATGGTAGACTTGCCGTGACTCACATGCCAACGCAGTGAACCATGCGGCTAATATCATCATTTCAGGGGATCAAACAGCTTGCTGGGATCGTACCCTAAAACGCACACCGCACTGCTGTATGAGAGGAACGGATCTAAATACACTGTGAAAAGTTGGGGTGCGCCTGCCGTGCAAGATCATCACAACAATCTTGATCTTCGGGATCCTACCCGATATGTGTTCTTGAGTAACTTCAAGCTTTCGTTGGACGAAGATGGTTTGTGCTGAAATTCCCAGTGAACTTGCCCATACTCTATTCTCACGGTTTCTTCTGGTAGCTCGCTTGATAAATAGTCCACTACCAGCCGGTCTTACTATCACCCGCGTCATCGGTGATTACTTGGGCAAACTAGTGGAAGTAGCCTTGGGCGAATTGCCGAAGGTGCTTGGATCTCACCTGACGAAGGCAGACGTGCAGTGGTAAGCACAATACTTTTCGTGTACATGCGTTTGACCGTGCGCTCAGCATACGTTAGGGTATTGACTGTACCTGCAGTTTGGACCATGCCAGCAAAGCAGGTTATGCGAGACGCAGCCGTCATTGCTGGAATTATTACGCAGGCGCAAGCCAACAGCCGCTCTGGAGATCTAGATATTGTCAAGGAACCCGAGGCCGCTATGGTGTACATGCTTTCGAAGCCCGAATTTAGCTGGCAAGACAAGGACATCGTTTTGATTGCGGACTGTAAGTGCTTCATCACCCCTAGTTCTCGATCGTTTGCTGATGCGTTTCCGGAGGTTAGGCGGCGGTGGTACCATTGACTTGTCGCTGCAACGCATCGAGAGCGACCAAGACGACAAATATCTACGCGAACTGGCTATAGCAAATGGTCAAACATGCGGGTCCATATTTATCGATCAGAGGTTCATGCACTACGTTCAAGAGCTCGTTGGCGACTATCACTGGAACTGGTTGCAAGCAAATCGCCCTGGCGATGTTTTGAAATTGCAACTGGAATGGGAGAAAGTGAAAAAGCAAGACGAAGTCCCATCAACCGCAAAAGTTTATATCGATGTTCCCCAGTCTTTGCTACGTCGTCTCACTCCTGCAGATTTGCAATACCTTGACGCCGCCAACAATGGCCATGATATTATGGATGATGGTCTTGTTCTGACCGGTTCTCAGATTGCAGAGTTCGCGGAGGAGTTTGTTGGCGAGACGATCAGACTTATCGATGATCAATTGCATAACCTGCCAAGATTTCAACGATGCAAGGCTATATGTCTCGTAGGTGGTGGCGGCCAGCATGCCATACTCGGTCGCCGAGTCAAGGAACGTTTTGAGGGTGCCGGCCGGGTTCGTCAAGTCTATACGCCTCCGGGAGCCGCCTTGGCGGTTTTGCATGGTGCTACCATCATGGGACTGAGGCCTTCAATTATCAGATATCAAGTCATGCCACATACGTATGGAATTGCCACGACTAGGCCGTTTCGTGCTGATCGCGACCCTCAGGAAGACGCAATTCCTCATCCTGATAAACCAGGAACATTTTACGTCGACAATATCTTCGACTTGCAAGTGCGAGCGGGGCAAACTGTACATTATGGCGAAGCTATCACAAGCACATACTGGCCGCTTACCGAGACTCAAACCCAGACTGCAATACTCTTGTACGAGTCTGACGGACAATGCCCGAAACGAGCTACGGATGACGGCGTTCGGTATATTGGACGGATCGTGCTAGATCATCCATCCGTACAGAGCTACGGAGGGCCTTACAACATCTCTACCGAGATTTTCTTTGGGAGGACCGAGATTCAGTTGAAGGCTCAAGGCGCTGACGGCAGGAAGGTGCAAGCATCAATACGGGTGGCAGGTTCCCTCACGATGAACTGAGGGCTTTTTGATCAGCGAGCCAAATGTCAGCTGGCTTTGTTGTCATTCTTTATCAGTGATC